ACACACACACACACACACACACACACACACACACACACACACACACACACACACACACACACACACACACACACACACACACACACACAGTGCGTCTTTGCATGTGTGTAAAAGTGCATTTGAAGCTAGATGCTTCCCCCATCACAGCCGTCCTTCATTTGTTTCGGTGCAGCCAATAAGCAAGAGAGATGCTCCAAGCCGCTTCTCACTGTGTTTGTGTGTCTTCAATACGTCACCCAGGCTTTCTAAATGTTAAATGTGTCAGGAAGCACAGAGAGGCAGATAGCATTCGAGTGCCCTGTCAACATTACAATGGACTGAGAGGGCCCCTGCAACTGTGTGTGGGTGTGCTGCCGTTGTGGGTGGCGAGGAAAATGTGCATTCCTATACAATCTATTTTTTCTTTTTCATTCATCAAGAATGTTTGGAAAATGTTTACTGCTATTTGTGCCCTTCTGTGAAAGATATCGCTCAGTCACCTGAGATGGAGCCCAGCAGCACGTTGCTCTTGATGCAGCGGTAGACGTAGTCGTAGCTCTGAGGTTTGAGAGGAGATCCAGTTGACAGGATGGTGTGCAGAGACTGGAGGTTGTGTGTTTCCGCTGAGGGAGAAAGAGAAAAAGAGAAAATAATTATAAATACACGAAAGGAAAGATGAGTTAAAAAGGTTTCATTTAAATATGGTTGGGAGTGTATGCAAAAATGAACGACATGTTTCCAATTTCTCTCATGATTCAGATATGAAGCCAAAACCTGTCAGATGAGAACCAAGCACTCTGTGACGCACACATGCCCAAACCACCACAAGCCAATAACACCCTGCAAACTAATACGCTTCCAGCAACCAACCCTCATCCCATAAACACGCACAGACACACATGCACAGACACACACACACAGTGGGATCTTTTGCTTCCCCCCCCACCATGCCTCCAGGTGTCCTGGTCCAAATGTCAACCCAGGGAAAAGGGCCTCTCCGCTGGGGCAGCCAGTTAAGAAGCTCCCTCTACCCTCCCCAGCCCACTGGAGGCATGCTTGCAAACACACACACACACACACACACACACACACACACACACACACACACACACACACAGCTCTCCCTCTGCCATGCTTTTCTCTAATAAGCATCCAAACGCACACACACACACACACACACACAGTGCCAACTGGATCAAGTGGTTGGCTGACTGATGGGGGAGCAGCAGAGAGACAGAGACAGACAGTGAAAGAGCAAAGTTGTTTTTTTTTGGGGGGGGGGGGGGGGTTGTACATGCCCACTTGTTGTTTAGCCACAGAGTTGGGACTTTGTTTAACTAATTTACAAGATGCATGAGTAAAGATTTGTGGTGATTACAACAGCACAGTGGGAAGTGACACACAACACTGGTTACAAGTGCTGATTTAACATTAGGAGAGGAGAGGAGGAGGGGAAGAGAGGAGAAGTGATGGAGAATGGGAGAAAAGGAAGGACAAGTGGGACACAGCTAAGCCCTTTGCATTAGTTATAACTGGTAATTTACATGATGATGAGGACGATTCGATTCGATAGTTTAAAGAGGAGGGAATGAAGACAAACAAATAAGAGGACATGAGGAAGAAAACAACAGAAGCTCATGTATGTAGATGCCAGCTTATGGGACTTAAGTGCTACATCCTTGTTGTGCACAGACATTACTGTGACCCGGGTACAGAAGTTGAAATACCATCAGAATAATGTGCTTGATTTATCAAATTTACACTCAATTAAGGATCCGAGCATAAGAATCTGAAAAACCTTGCAAGTGCTCTGTTCGGTGACAATACAGAACGTACCTCTACAAAAGAGCACAGCAATAATTTGAGCGTGCACGTCTAACAAGGCATTTTCTGTCACACAAACACTAAGGGGAGAGCGGATGTATGAAGGTTAGCAGGAAGGCTAATAAGCACTGGCACAACGCTGGTTATGTGCGGAGACCTGGTTCCCTCCCTTGAGAGCTGTGACAGTAAAAGCAATTAGACGGGCCTATCCATGACTCACATGAATTATCCTAACAGCACTTTTATCCATTCGATTCAGTGTCAAACAGCAGAGCACAGGACAAACTGTTGATTCACACAGTAAAATGGCGTAAAGGACATTTAGAGTCAAACAGCATCGCTTTAATAATCATTATCGCGTCCATCTGCTCTTATGGTTTCAGGTTCCACAGAGGAGGTGTGTGTGTGTGTGTGTGTGTGTGTGTGTGTGTGTGTGTGTGTCTGTCTGTCTGTGTATGTGTGTGTGTGTTTAAGGGTGAATGCATTTCTCTCCCTCACTTTCTGCTCGTTATTTGTGTGCGTCCATGTGCGTCTCTGGATGTCTGCTTGCATGCTCACGTTGGTGTGCACAAGATTGTGTCTGTGACCACAACTCACCGGGTTTCAGGTTCTTCTCCTGCAGCACAGACAGCCACTTGGCCCCAGTACCAAAGATGGTGATGCTGGAGAAGAGGAAAAGAAAGACTGATGAGATCAGAAAGGCTGCGTCAAATACAAGTATTTTCAATATGAAGGATTTGTGGACCTCTATTTTCCAACAATAACATTTACATCACCTCCCTTCCCCATAAGGGGAAGCTGTTGTCTTTTCTCTTTGGAAAAGACACAGAATTTGCGTCAGTGTTGCCAACAAAGAGAGCCAATGTAAAAGTCCTCCTACATACATGTACTGTATTCTGCACAGTGACAGCAGAAAGAATAAACAACAGAACCAAATTAGCAAACTTTCTGAATCATCCTCCCGGGTGGTTTTAATGTTGGCAGTTTTCATGGCAATCTGTTAACTTTTGAGATGCAGAGATTGATGGGTGGATGGACGGACCGGTTGACATGATCCTTCCCCATCATCTTAAAAACTGTCAGTACAGTTTATTGGGTCTTTGGTGTCTCAGAAGGTTTTAATCTTGATTTTGAAACTGGGAGTAGAAATGAGGAATTTAGAAAAACAAATGTCCCTAAAACACACGTCAACAACAGATCTTGGTAAAATCAATGATGCCAAATGGTTTATCACATTTGAAGGAGGTTGGGTAGTGGAGGAACATGCTATGGTTACTGACAGATACTGAGTAAGATTATGAGCGATACAAAGATCTTAGACACCCTCAGATTAATATATGATGGGATGTTATTATTCAACTGGTCACAAAGCACTGATGGTGAAGCACGAATGAAGCAGCTGATGCAAGTGAGACTCCAGTAATCACTCTGAACTGATGCAATGCTCCACTTGTTGCCCTGGATCTATGCATGACAAGGCACAATTTGAATTTTGTCTGTGTGCTGAATGCAAAAGTAAAAAAAAAAAAAAAAAAAAGGGACAACCGTTAGTGAAGAGCCTTTGCCCTTAATCCCGTCTGCTCCAGTGGAGCTGCTCAGTATCCTGCTTGTACCAGGAAGTTCCCAGGAGACTGTGTCACTGTGTAAATGTAGAGCAACATGATGCTGAAACACTGGCTGTGTGCTCAGTCAAACCTCCGTGGATAGATAAGAAAAACGAAAAGAGGGGGAAAAAAACTGATTGGAAATTGACTTTCAACCGAACAAACAGAAAAAGAGTCAAACACAATAATGGCCAGTGTAGCATGAGAGGACAAAATGTCTCCTTTGTCAATGTTTCACCAGGAAATAATTCCAATGGAGAGTGTCGTGACAGGGTGTGTGCACACAACAAAGCTGAAATGAAATGATTTTGGGAGGTGCTTTCTTCTGTGAGTGGAAGTCACCCTGACAGCTGACAACAGATGGACAACATGTGGAAGACGAGAAGTGACAAAACGTCACTTCAGTGTTCCCCTGCACTTTTAATTTTAAAACAAAGGGCCTTTTAAAGTCTGCCTCTGTGAATGGGTGTGTTTGTCTCCATCTGCGTCTTTTCCAGTTATTTGTGTTGACACTTAATCAATGAAATAGCCGCCTATCACTATGGTAACCATGTCTCTCAGTCAAATATGAAAAAGAATCTGTCTCTGGGATACAAAACAACTGTCTGATGCTTGATTGGTCAATAACATGCAATTGGTTTGAGGTGAAAGATGTGTTTTGCTCTCGGAGCCTCAAATCGATTTGTGCTGATACAGGCTGCTCACAGGGTGAATGAGGGCGTGAAAGGGCAAAGGTCCCAAGAAGTAACATCTCAACATGGACCAAAGTGAATGATGCACGCAGCTCTAGGTCCACGTTGGCTCTGCATGCCTCACACTTCCACCTGCTGAATCACCGGATTCTAAAATGTTATGTCATTTTCTATATAATGTGGATTAACCAGACTTGAATGTTGTTTCATTAATGTTTTTGGGTGAATTCCATAAAGACGTGACAAATAAGTCACTTTAGCACAGTGATGCAACAATCTGCAATAAAATGTCCTTTTTTCTTTTTATGAATTCATGGTTAAATAATTTATCTTTTATCTATGGAGGCTGAAACTGTTTGGGAGAGAATATTTGAATAGAACATAATGCTGCTTTAATGATCTTTTATTTTGTTGCTATAAATCGGATTTGTATTTTGACACTATATTGCAGAAAAATAACATGCGGAAACCCTAACCCAAACAAAAATGTTAACAAATAAAAAAGAAAATGAAATAAAACTATAAAGAATTAGTAGAATTCTATTCTGTCATTATGATTTCTAACCAATTGTTTTTGTATGGTCCATATTCTCTGTAAAAGGGGCTAAATCCATCTCTCACCCTTGAGTCACACAAGAGATATAATATATGTATTGAGGGTGTGATATATATATATTATATGTAGATGTATATTCGTATCATATGTTATATTAGGACATATATCTGTTCTCCGTGGTCACAGACTGATCTGATATGACAGACTAGACGCATTAACTCAAAGACCCCATTTGTCATCTGCACCCTCACACAGTCCCTCTCCATTCTATCCATCATGTCGGACCCCCCATCAACACATCTGGATTTGTTTGCCGGTGGCTGCCATGGAAACAGTCACTCCGCTCTGATTGGAGGCAGGTGGCCAGGTGTGGCGGCTAATCGGGTGTTTAGGATGGAGGGCGGAGGAGAAGCTGCGAGCGTCCGTCTGTGAGAGTGTGTGTGTAAAGTACCTGTGTATCTGTTTCAAAGAAGACATGGTACTCGAAGCTGCTCTGTCAATAAGAGGCACTCGAAGCAGATCAGACACTGAAGAGCTCTTCCTGTGGCAGTTATTACATTAATGTGTCTCTATGCATGCTGGGACGCAGCAACCAGAGTCCCACTTGTCAGCGCGTGGTTTCTGAACGAATCCCACACTCGTCCTCCAGGAAGAATTGTAATTGCTTTCTTGTCAAGCAGGCACAGGCCGACACTACTGTTTGATGGTGTAATTGTTTGCAGATTTGCTATTATTAAAAGAATGACTAGAAACTGTCTTCTTTAATAAATCAACACAAACCTAGTTTATTAGCGTAGCTTGATTTAATGACTGTGTATACAAGAGGAAATGTTCGGTATGAGAGTGTGTTCTTAGTACGATTGTTTTGAAAATGAAATTCTCTCAACAAGAGGATTCTGCTGATCTGCCTCCACTGTCCCTGGCATATATTTTTCTCTCCCATGTGTTACTCAAATAACAGACATGTTTAAAAGGGATTTCGTCTCTTTATCTTTCTTTCTGTCATGTATTATTGTGAAGCTCATTCCATTTTTTGTCTTCCTCCTGCTACAATCAATCCCGTTGGCAGACAATTTAAAAAGACAGAGCAGATGTCAACATGTCTCAAAATGAATCTGGTCATTTTCTTGTCTCAATGTTTATCTAGCACTTCAAACAAGTATGGATGAACAAGGAATATTTGAAAAGCATTTGAAGTCATTATTCTGCAGTTTGAAGAATTAAAAATGAGGAGATTTTAAATTGTTATGTCCGCGCGTCTAAAACTGTAACTGAGCTGGAAAACGTGCAATCTGCTCAAACTGTATCTGTTCTTATCGCTCCAAAGAGAATAACTTGAGAACTGTGCTTGGCATTAACCATAACACATGGTTTCCATTCAGTAGATGGTGCAAGAGAAGAGGACGAATGTTTTCAATCCTATCAGCCCGACACATAATTGACAAAAGATGGAAAAGACGACAAGTTCCTCAGAGAAAACAGAGGAGCCCCTGAAGTCTCGTACATACATGGAACCTGTCACGACTTTAAATGCTGTAACCTTTAGCTCGTTTCACTGAGGAATACTGCAGAGTTTGTCTCCACTGACGTACAGTCTCTGCTTTTCCTGCATGACACAGGTAGGAATACTTGTCAGAGCATTTAGAGGTTAGTGAATTAAAATATAGTGAACTTATTTACTGCAGTGATCCACCACTCTGTACTCTGAACTTCCATACTTAAGGTTTAGATGAAGAAAGTCTACTGTGGCTCACATTTCTTTAGAAATTCTTTCAGAAATCTACTGAATAACTTAACATAAACACATAAGTTCTGTCAGACAGTCACGGTGCAAATCATTAATCATCCATTACAGCAAACAAAACGGTTTTTTTGTGCAAAATTGTCCATCCTTCCCCATTAATGAAAATGTCATCTTTCAAAAAACATCTATAAAAAGGGATTTAAAACTGTAAATGTCACTTAATTGGTGAGATGTGGAAATAAAGCAGTTATTTAAGACCGCATAACTCACAAAATTCAAGGCAACAGGGGAAGCATCAGTTTAGACTTAAAGGCTTTTGTATAGCAATCTCACTACATCGTCTCAATCTAAGTGGTGCAAGTGCATTTATGGTGTGTTCAAATACACTCCTGCAAAAAAGGATGCAATGCCAGGAGCGTGGTCTGAAAAGATTGTACTACAGTCGGTGTGCTATGCAATAAACCAATCAGAGTGTCATCTCCCATTCCCTTTAAAAGCCTGGTGTGCTTATCCCTTGGCACATTCTGCAGAGTGCAGCATGTTGTGCACCTTCCAATGTAATTCCATATTAAATTAAAATATAAAGTGCTTTGCTAGTCTTGATGAAAGACTGTGGAGCATGTTCTCGATCACAAATCAATCACACACCACGCACACTCTTTAGGGATAGGAAGGACGTTTAGACACAGAAGACGGAAGACTGGGATCAAACCGTCGGCCTTATGGTTAGTGGACGATCGCTGTGACTTCGCAAAATACTGAACCATCAACTTCAAACCATGTTTTTGTTGGTTAATTGCCCTCTGTGCCAACAATGCATTTGACCACATGACCTACACAGCCATGAGTGCTCAGAAAGCCAGAGGTGTATTTGCTATTTCAACAACATGAGCCTCGGTCAGAAACTAGCAGAGACACTTTGTGTTTTGCCTGGTGTCACTTTGTGCCTGGTGCATGATCCGGCCCCAACACTGACGATTCAGCTCATTTACAATGTCCACGCTTAGATGAGGGTGCAAAAATAAAAAAATAAAACCCTCACGTCAGCCTCTCCCACGGGGGGTTAACACTCTACGCTGCGCTGGGCTGTGGGACATGTGTCTGAGGTGGCAACATCAGCACTTAATTGGTTCAAAAATCTTCCCACAGTTTGAAAGGTTCCATCTGTCTTTCTGTCGCGCTGGCAGCTCTCAACTCAACTCCTCCATGTGGGTAATTATGCTAACAGTATTCTAACCTTGTTCACTCCATTTCCCCCATTTTATTTTTTTTTTTGAAGGGGCAAACAAGCAGCAAGGTTGAAAGACAAGTACATTTATCTCATCTGAGCTGCTGCACACCAAACAATACTGTTGATATTAACCAACCGTGAAGCTCCAGAGAGTCGTTTAACACTTTCTCTATTCGTCACAAAGAACCAATCATAGTTTAAAGATCTGAATGTTTTTGGTATTTCTAATGTCTACTATAATAGTGAAAGGAGCTCATTAGGTTTTGGATATACAAATCCTCTTCTGGGTTTCTGCAGTATAAGTACTTTTTTCTTGGCACTTTCAGTCTATAGCTTCCACTCCTCCCCATCTGTGTCAATTTTTTCTCCCCATTACTCCCTTCCTTGCTGAAGGCAATATGCCACCTCCACTGCGCTGAATATGTGTCTGGGGTATAACTGTCTTTAAGCGTCTTACATTTGCTGACCACACTGCAGTTTTGTTTTTTTTTTAAACATAGTTTAACCAAAGGTTGAGTGAGTGTCCTCCACATGACACCATCTCCAACTGCTGGATGTTTTAAGGACACATCAGGTGCAGTGTTTAGCAGGGAGGAAGATTTCATCCACCACACTCCAAAAGCCTAACGCCCAACGTAATGTTCTTGTTAAATTAAATGCATCCGTCCATCCATTGTCTTGTCACGGAGAAAACTAATATCGGCCAAGTACAGTTTTCCAGACGTCGCTCTCCCCAGCCACACTTTCCAGCTCGATAAGACCTGGGGTCTCCTCCCGGTTGGGCATAAACAGTAACCCTCCAATGGAAGGCACCCAGGAGGCATCCTGACTAGACGCCTGAACCACCTCCACTGTCCCCTTTCGATGTTAAGGACCGGCCCTTTGACTCCGTGCTCCCTCCCTCTGGATGTCTGAACTCCTCACCCTGTCTCTTAAGCTGAGCCCAGCTACCACACAGGGAAAACTCATTTTGGCCGCTTGTATTTGCGATCTGTTGTGTTCTTAAAACTTTGCAGCAGGAGGTTGTTAAAGAACTGGCAGGTCATCTTCATGTGTTATTTCAGTTAACAGTATATTTTACTGATCCTGTATTTTCCAGTTAATGTCTTGAATACGTTCCTAATTATCTTTAAAAAAAAGTATCTGGCTACGCTTCAGGAAGCCACGAGAATGAACTGCATAAGTAAATATTTTCGTGTATTCAGAAGACATCCTGATTTGAAAAGGTCTTTAACGTGAAACTACTGGTTGAACTGGCCGATCATCGTACCACTCATGTTTTGGAGATAATTATGTACAATACTCTACGATCTATCTGAGCTTACTACTCTGCAATACTGACATTTTAATTGGAAACGCTCGGGGCGTATTGAGCACACACAACTTTCACAAATTCAAATACACAAGTCCACAATGAGAAAAATATATATTTGCTCACCATCCTCCCTATTAAATCTGAGCCAATTAACTGCGCCCTGCACTCGGTTGTATCCTTGACCATTTCAGCTTCTCTCTCGCTGTCTTCACCAGACAATAAAAGAGGATCAATACTGGGTTTAACATCTGCTGTTTATGGTGGTGATAGTGTTGGTGATGGTGGTGGTGGTGGTGGTGGTGGTGGGGGGGTAATCAGGACCTTTACCACAAAAGAGGATCTTCTGTTAATATCGTCTGTGCTGTTTTGGACCTGAACCAACCGTGTGTGAAAATAGGAAAAGGGGTTACAGGGTATTTACAATAGGTGGGTCTGTACAGTATCCTCTGTGTCTTCCGTCGTAACTCTTCAAACTGGATGTTTTACAGCGTGAAGCAACCTCTGGATTAGATGGAAAACTTTAGGTCTGACTCGGGTTTCATCATCTCCATCAATCTTCAAGAACAACAGCCTCAGGGGACGACTGACCCCGCTGACTTTAAACAGCCCGTTCAGCCGAGCAGAAGACGCCGCTGCACTTTCAAAATGACAGAAGGGGCAGCTCATTTGTAATAATCGATGAGCAGGTTGGGAGTGGCTTTTGTACATCTGAAATATGAGACTGATTTATGTTGATTTATGCTAAGTTATGTGAAACTTCATAGAGAGGTATGGTTTCTATAAATACGAAGGCATTCGCTATTTACACTCAAACTTCCTCTTTTTTCCTTGGGCTTCGTGTCCATTTCAACTGATAAATTAGTGGATAAACACAAAATAATTACCAAATAATCCCCCTCTCTGTTTTTAATGCACGTTATAACGAGCAGAAATCTTTATTCATGAGTCTGCTCATGCGAGCTCGTGCACATGTTGTCAATTAAGTGAACACATCATCGGTTCTGAGGTTAAAAAGAACAGGAATGCTTCACCACTCTCTTTCTGACTGTGTCCTGGTTTTAATTTCACCGTTTTTTTCAATATTCTCGATTTCTCTGTTTCTAATAAATTACTTATCCCAGTTGTTCTTCTAGCCCTTCTGTGAGAGTTGAATCACTTATTGAAAATGTATTATTAATATTGTATAGAGTGTATGGACAACATGAATGAGAGCTCCCAGAAAGTGAAGCCAAACAATCTTGATCGCCCTCTTGTGGCTGGCTGCAGTATAGGACATAAACCCCGCCTCCTCCATGTAAGTGGATAGGACAAGGGCCAAATTAAATAGCTAATTATTTTCTTCTCAAAGATGGTTTCTGCACTTATTTGTGGGTTTAAAATTAAAAGCTTCCATCAGTAAGCAATAAACACCAGAGAAACCCAGTCACTCCCTTGTGTATGTGTGTGCGTCTGTGTGTGTGAGTGAGTGTGTGTGTGCATGTGTAACTCACCCCAGCTGGTCCGTCAGGTTCCACAGTACATCAGGTGTGGGCATCAGTGGTGAACCGTCGTACAAAACCACTGAGGCTCCCGTTGCCAGAGCCGACACCAGCCAGTTCCACATCATCCAGCCAGTCTGTTAACACCACAGACACAAACCCGGTGGTCAGTCTATCTGGCTCCTCTCACATCAACACGTTACACACGATACATGATTGTGTTTCTCTTTCAGCTTCACGCTGAGCTGCAGCTTCCATCGCTCATATGTACAAACACTGGTGATGTTCATTCTATTGCATTAAAACTGCATAAGTGCTAAGTGCTTGCTCAAACTGTTGGGTTTCTCTAGAATATTGTAATGTCTCATCCATACTGGGTAAAGTGCATTGAGATTATTCATGTTGTGAGCTAGATACAAATAGAATAACATTAATATATGCTAAAATTAATATAGGGGCGCTAACACAATAGCAGCTAGTGGTGAATTTCTCACTTAAGTAGCAACGGAAGATTCACCGTGTTTCAACAAATAAAAAAACAAAACAGAAATAAGCCGGTTTTAGCTTCTCGGTTGTGGGTGTTTGCTGCTGTTCTCTGTTTTCTACTATTGTAGGTTTAATTCCTCTAATTTTGGATTCACAGTCTGAGAAAAAAAGTTATTCAAAGATGTTATCCTAAGTTCTGGGAACGTATTATGGATTTTTTTATGTTCCCAGCTCTAAATACATATGCGTCATTAACTGATTTTATTTACAGGTTGAATAATTTTATTTTTTATGCCACAAATAAAACATCCTACCAATGAGGGTCGGCTGACAAAATCTAGTCGATATCAATAATTATCATAATAAATGTCACATTGTTATTTATTTCAAGTTAAAGACTGATTCTTCCTCCTGATTTAAAGTTGTGGTTTGGACTCTTCTTTATGAGCACTTGAAAAACAGCTAAATATTTTAAAGATCTGTGGTAAATAAGTAAAACCGATTATGTGCTTTACCTTCTAATCAAGCTTGCACAATGCATAATAAATGAGTCGATTGTATTGAACTTTTGTTATATCGCAATTAATGAAAACGATAATGCGATAATTAGTGCTATAGTCTCATCGCCCAGCCCTACGTCAGTGAGTCTTAATGAGCAGGATTATGATTAATAACAACCTACAACATTAAACTTTATACCCCTGCAGATGACACAGTAGGAAACTTTGGTACCATTAGTGTTTCTCTTCATGTGAAAAGGTTGTGGACCTACCGTTGTGTAGTAAATGATGACATCACTGCTGGTCATATTGCCATGGATGATGTGTTCCTTCAAGTGTTGGATGAGCGTGCCCTGCAGAAACAGAGATATGGGAGCGTTAATGTGACAGTGAACAAGTTAGACAGACAGGACTCGTCTTGAATGAAAGACACTTGTAAAACACTGAATCTTTGAATAATAAAGTTTTTTCCAGACATATTTCCATGCTCCTTCGTTCGGCTGCACAGGAGATGCCTTCTATCCACGGCAGCTACACAGAGAAGATCTCTATCCAACAAAAAGGGCAATTCAGGATAAGTGTGGCTTCTCCCACAGTCACTAACCCATCACAGTCGGATGGGTTGTTATTGGTGGTGTAGAGTATGAACTATGTGTGTGTGTGTGTCTGTGTGTGTGTGTATGTGTGTGTTTAAGTTTTGAGCCTACGCGTACTTTGCTGTTCACATAAACCGCTGGTCCGTGTACTTTGCGTGCACGCGTGTGCATATAATCTTTGGCAGGACTCAGCTGCCATGCCCGTCCACCGGTTTGTGCCATCGCGCTGCTGACAGCATGTTAACAGAGCCGTAACAAAGCAGAAAGCACAACGGCGCTGCGGCTAATTGGTGGCGCCAGAGAGGACCGCCAGTGTCACAATGTGAAATGTTTTCACCGACGCATTACTGTCCAATTATCTGCAGCATGGGGAGAAGGATGGGGCACAAAAAAAAAGAAAGAGATGGGGAAAGAGAGGACGATAAGAGAGGGAGGGGAAAAAAGGAATACAAATACAAGGATAGGAAGGAAGAAAGAAAGAGGTGATAGGGGAGGAAAGAAATCAAGAAGGGAAATGAACCTAATGAGCGTCTGAAAATGAGGACTAAGTGGGAGAAAAGGGAGGAAACACATCTAGCAAGTTCAGACAGAAAATGAATGTGAAAGAAGGTTGAGAGAGTGAAAGAATGCAGCAAGAGGAGAAGGAAGGGAAAAGAGGCAGAACGACCGCTTTGTGGAATGAGAATGCATTTGTTTATGTGTGTTAACCTGTTTTGAATGTCGAGTGCCTTAGCCTTCAAAGAGCAGTGGTCCTTTTGAAATCACACATTCATCCAACACTCTACCGCACTCAGATGTGACATTCAGCATTCATAACCCCCCCCCCCCTCCTCTGAGAGAGAATAACTTTCAGGGACCTGCGGATGGAGGTCTGCTGCCATCTTGTGGTGGAGAGTTAATTGAAGTAAAAAACTGAGAAGTGAGACTGGGAATGATTTCAATAATCTGTTGGTATAATCTGATTTAGTCTCCTTTCAAAAAGAGGAATTGTACAAACAGACGTGACAGAAGAGCTTTTTAAATGGGACATGCAGATGAATTATGTTCTTCGACTTTAGACGTTAGAAGAAAATCTCCCTCTGCGTTCTTTAAAAACCAAACACCGGAAAAATGTCAGCACCTAATTACTCCATGAGTTCATGTTGGAAAACAGTATAAGAGTGTCACCTTCTGTTTATGTGTATTAATATAAATGGTGTGCACTGCAAATCAAACCGCGAATATCGGCCAACTCTGCAGAAACAGATGTGACCAGAATGTTCTTGTGTGTGTGTCTGTGTGTGTGCCTTTGTGAAACAGCTGTGGTCCCACTAACACTTATGGGTCAGTAAGAAATATTTTTTTTTATTTACAGAAATACAAACTAGAACACAGGACAACCCATGGGCCAACTACGTTCTTTTGGGATGTGCGATGTACCATTTCTGAGTAGTTTGGCCTCAGAGCCATTAAAGAGTTCAGAGTGGGGACATTCAGCTTGTTTATGGACCCAGGGACTCCACTTCCTTCTCTCCTTCAATTAAACTATCACACAGATATTGAACGGAGACAAAATCTACCCACTCTCAGGAAAGAGCGGCTTTTAACACGTCAGAGAAATTTACGTCAGATGACTGGGGAGATTAAAACAGGAGCGACTAAAGGCAGCTAAATGGAAGTAAACAAGCAAAGTCTCCAAAGAACCTCAAATCTACAACAACAGGGGCTCATCCCTGATTAACAGTTACATGTTACTTTACTTAGAGAGAAAATAGCCTAAAAGGGCGGTAATCAACACTGAGGTGTGAGCCCCTTTCCATGCTCGTGCTGTTGGTGTTTAATGTAAAACGTGTTCAGAATTTCCTGCCAACGCAGGAAAGTCTTGCTGAATTTTGAGACAACTTAAGCAAAAGCAGTTAGCGCCACCTAATGGTGAGTGTGGACAAGTTAACATTCCGTTCTCAAAACTTGTCTCTGTTTTGATTTGGCTCCGCACTGTCACTGGCACTGTCCTGGTGTCCTCTCTCCGATATCAGATTGCTAACAGGCCCAACTATAAATCACGCTGCGCACCAACTGTGACTTAAAAAATGGTTTTTCTCCTTTTTGGCACATGGTGGGATAAAACTTCTAAATTAGTGGTTTCACTTATTTGCAATCAAGTTTATAACATCCAGCCAAATATTTCTGTGACCCAGCCAAACATTTCATCTCTCTGCTGCAGACAGAGCCGAGTTACTGACCAGCACTGTGTGGTGGGTTTCTGCTGAGGGACCGTACAGCTGTCTACTGACAATATATAATCCAGCATCTACCACACAAGCTACAATCTTATTTTTTTGTAGTATAGCCTCTGCTTATTTTAATAGCAGAAATGATCTACTCTCTTTAATGACCAAATAAATCATGTATTTTCTGCTAAATGTTTTGTACTGATATGAACGTCATTGATAATATAGTTATATATTGATTTATAATATTTAATAGGTCATGTTGAAAGTACGTTATGGTCCTAGAAGTAGTTTATCAGTTTTAATAGTTATAAGTTAGCAAGTCTCTCAAATGTGTATCTTTTATTAAATTGCGTTCCCCCTGTGGTACTAGATAATTAATACTAGATTAATGCTCCTTATTTAGACCCTGGTGTATCTCCTTATAAAGTAGAGGTTGGAGATCCATCCATTCTACTCCTCAATTTAATTATATAGTCTAAAGTTGCTCACATAGGAGCTGATGTCCCCTCAACGAGAGCATAATATTATTCAAATCATAAATAATTCTACACCTAATTTTATTTCAGGTGTGTTTCATGTGGAACGATGCACAGATTATAAACTATGGGTTAATGAGAGCCAGTGTTTTTCTCACCCCGGCAGAATGCACCATGCATTTAGGAGCTCCTGTGGTTCCAGACGAGTACATGATGAGCAGAGGATGATTGAACGGAAGCTGCTCAAACTCCAGCTGAGGAAGCTGGTCGCCGTCACCTCGTCCGGACGCCAAGAAATCGTCTATAAATACACTGCGGAGGCAGTCGAGGAGAGGGAGAAGAGAACATCTAACCTGCTCTCTGTCATGTAAACAACAGAATTCTGAGAGCACAGCTGTATCCACAGACACTCACCTGTTGGGGATCTTGGAGAGGTCAGTCTCGTGTTTGGACCGAGCATAGGGGATCACAACCACTTTCTTCAGGTCAGGCAAACCTGGAGGTCCGAGAGGAAGAAAAACTGAATTATTTAGCGGAAAGTCTTTTTACAGCTTTACTTTACTCAGACAAATGTGTCACTCTTTGATGGTCTCTGGCTTCTATATCAGATTTTACAGGAGAAACTAAATGATAATAATGTTGGAGAAGAAACACTTTTTTTTTTATATAAAAAATGATAATTGTCAGTCGATTAGTAAATGTGGTTCCCAACCTTTGACGACACTAATCAGCTTTTCCATGTGGTCGTGTGTTTTGCCGTTGTAAACCACGGCGGCCACGGAGAAGATGAGTTTGGGCTGGATTTGAGAAAACCTGTCAAGGACACCCTGAAACAAAAACAAAAAGAGAACGAGAGTGAAAAGTGATGACAAGTAAATAATTACAACAACAGAAAAGCCTCAAATTAGTTTTCTCTCCAGGAAATGAGAGATTAATAAGACTTTGACCAACATGCACACGATTCTGATCTGCCAGATGGGGGCAGTAGCACACCAGAAACACAGCACGATGACAGAGGGACCATTGACGGAGGAGCTGCTGCAGGATGATGTTATTTACATTCACTCATACACATGACACCATCCTTCATAGAGCTCAGTCCTGTTTCACTCCACATGTGGGACCACCACCTCATTCACTTCCTTTTTTGTTTTTTTGTATATGGGTCAGTTCTGCCACAACCATGAATCCACGAGTACGGAACAAGCCTTACATTGACTCCAAAGTCGACAGAGGTGGAGCTCCAAATGGCTCCGATGCTGGCGGCGGCCAACATGGCCTCCAGTGCATGGATACCATTGGGCAGGTAGCCTAGAGTCAGATGAGAGGAAAAAGGAAAACAGGTTAAAAGGGTTTGATAATGACATCTTAAGAATCATTGATATTTATTTGAATATGTATAATCAGCAAAGAAAACTTCATACTGGTCGGGCTCTGGTGTCATTTCAATAATTTAAACTATGTGTTATTTGTTTGTTGCGTATTATCTCATGTTGTAATGCTGCAACGGTTTATGTGATTGGTTGCACATTTGTATGAGTCACCTGCGGTTGACTGCGGTTGCACACTCTGTATGTTTTAATGGAAAACCCTTATGCATTCCCCAGACAGGCTATGAGCCTCGTAACAGGGTGGAGGGCACGTCGAAGATGTCAAGACCAAGAAGAAGAGCAACGGAACTGAAGAGTGCATGGAAAAGAGAATACGTGTGTGTGTGTGTGTGTGTGTGTGTGTG